ACCAGGAACGAGGGCCTCTGTCTTTCTCTTGCAGTATGTGGGCCAGGTGTTTGAGAACAAGGTGGATGCCGGGTCAGAGAGGCTGAAGGTGCAGGACACAGACCCCCCCCCAGCTCCCCCGCATGGAAGGCCATGTTCTCCATCCTAAATGACAGAGCAGGCCTCTTCACTGTCACCACAGACCCTGAGACCAATGACGGCCTTTTGAAAACAGCCAAGGTGGGTGTGAGCTCTGAGGAGACGGCCACCGTGACCCGCTAGCTCTGGGGCCGGGCGGGAGCAGACACCACGCTCTTCGCCAGGAGCACAGCTGCCCAGTGAGGGCTTCCGGCTGCGATGGCGGTCCTCTCTGGTCCTTGTGTCACAATGGCCACATCATCGCCCTGGACCTCAGAAGTGCTGCCTCATTAACTGTTTTCTCCAAGAAAAAGACTAACCTGGGAGGTTTCCATAGAGCTAAACTGGAACCTGTGTCTTCAGCTGGGTTACCCCTAAAGTGGGAGGGACTCTGGGGGTGCTGAGGAGGGACGGGTGGGACACAGGAAGCGGGGAGAGAAAAGGGGTCCCAAGAAGAGAGGGGCTCAGGCCCCCGGGTCCGTCTGAGCAATGCCTCAGCATCGTCTTGTCTGAGACACGCGTCTGCCTTCTCCTGTGCCTGAAGTTGCTGCTTTACCCCTGGAGGCAGGAAGCCAGGTCCCCAGAGCCACAGCAGTCTCAGGGCAGGCAGAGGGGCCTGGAGACATCTGCTCCCCCCTTCCCCAGACAAGCCGAAGATGAACTATCAGAGAGAGAGAAACGAGAACACAGGGAGGGAAGGAGCCGTGGGGGAAGTGGAACCTTAGGGAGCTCAGGGACCTCTGCTGGGCTGAGGATTTTTTCTCAGGAGGCTGGGGAGGGCGAGGCACTTAGAGCTATTTGCTCCCAAAGTGGTCTTTTGGCCCCATAATACTGGGACACTTAGAATAAACATGGAGAAGGCCAAAGGCAGCATCTAGACAAGACTGGGGGACAGAAAGGCTAAAATTCAAGAATTCCTCCAAGGGCATGTCCCAGGACATTTACCTCCCAACCTGCATCCAACCTGAGAAGGTGCCGGGGGGTGAGTTGACCCCTGCGAGTAACCACACGCCTTGCTGGGGCCGAGGCCTACATCAGAGGGGTCCAGTTCCAGCTGGCCCCTGGCCCAGCCATCTGGAGACACTTTCAGATAATTCTGCTCAGGGCCCAGCACTGCCTCACAAGTCTGAGGATAATAAAACAGCAAACACACCATCTCAGTAAGTGCCACAGGTGGTTTATGTCCCAACACTCAGTTTTCACACCAACTCCAGCAGAGCAGTGCTGCAATTATGGACGTTCGATGGTGGGTAAACTGAGGCACAGAGAAGCGAGGTCACCTGCTTGGGCTGCACTGCAAATGGCAGAGCCAGGATCTTAACCAGAGTCCACCTCCTCACTGCTAGGCTGTGTGAAGTATCTGAGAGTCAGTGCAGCGTGGAGCGCTCTCGACCACGGCCACTCCTGCCCCGCCATCCCAAGCCGTGACCTTCCCTCGGGAGAGGCAGACAGCCACAGGCTAGAGCCTGCACCCTCTTGCAGGCGAGCCAAAGCGGGGCCTACTGTGCCAAGTCCCCTGACCACCCTCTCCTGTGTTGCTCAGGGTTTGGATTTTGAGACCACACAGCAATACACCCTCTACATGACAGTGGCGAACACGGTTGGCGTCACTCCCCACATCCACAGCCACTGTCACCGTGGATGTGCTGGACATGAATGAGGCCCCTGTCTTTGTACCCCCACTAAAGATAGTGTAAGTGCCCAGGGATATTGGTGTGGGCCAGGAAATCACATCGTACAGGACCCAGGACCCAGACAGCCTCCAGTGTCAGAAAATCAGGTGGGACTGGAGGTGTGCCTTGGTCTCAAGGCACCCAGGGCTGAAATTCAGCCACATATCTGGAGACCTAGCCAGAGGAAAGACTTAAATTTGTCAGCACCTGTTTGCTCACTACACCCTGGGAGGCTGGTTGGGGGACACATGGTCCCAGCCCTCTAAGAATGAGGGTTGAATCCCTTTCAGGTACCAGATATGGCATGACCCAAGCCATCGGCTGGACATCAGCTCAGAAATAGGAGTCATTTCCACTCGAGCCAGTCTGCACGGGGACGACATGAAGGACCACACATTTTCAGCTGCTGTCATAGCTATGTACGATGGTAACGGTTTGAATGTTTCATCACTGGGCCACGTCCCTCCACTGATGCAAAGCTCTGAAACACGTTATGCTCCGTGTTGTGGCTAAGCTGTGTGTACGTGATGATCTCAACGTATCTTCACCAGAAACTGAGGAGGAGGAACTGTATTATCTTACCCATTTTATCCATGAAAACGCAAGTTTGCAGAGACGAAACGATCTAAGCTGCATCCCGGGGGCGAGTAAAGGCTTGAGCGAGGCTGTCCAGGCTTCCAAGCAGAACCTCTCAGGGAGTCCAGCAAGGCGACCGGGGCCACACACCATCAGCACTGGGAGGAGAGTAGCGGGGCTGCCCCCACACACCCTAAGGGACAAAGTACACACATACAGTGCTGTGCCGCATGCCCACACCTTGTGCAAATACCCACATGCATGCCCGCGGGTGATTCTCACACTCACAGAGAGCACACAAGCTGACATGTGCACACACACTCGGTCATACACATTCACGTGCATTGTCACACTCACACACATACTCTCAGAACATCCTGCTCAGGCGACTTTACCTGGGACCACCAGCACCTGGCAGACCGTACCCAAAAATCATGTGCTGGACCCAGGCCTGAGGACCCAGTGAGGACCCAGGGCTCTGTGGAGAAGCTGTGTTTGGAGTCAGATTGGAGATAAATGGTAAGATGAAGCCGACTCTTCTCAGGCTGGTTCAGTGAGCCAATGAGAGACAGGACTGTGGGGAGGGGTGCCGGAGGGACAGCCGACCACAGGAGATGGCATCTAAGTTGGAGGAAATGTGGCCGCTCACCAGTTTGTAGGGTCTTACCTCTTCCATCTCATTCTTTCCTTAGGGCAACCTCCTGCCATGGGCACCGGGACCCTTCTCCTCACTTTCTCTGACACAGACAGCCCAGCAGTAGGCTCACAGTGCCTTTCCACCTGCCAGAGGGGACCAGAGTCCCCAGCTGTAAGTATGGGTCACCGGGATCTTTCACCAAAAGACTGTGCACGGACTTGATATGTTACAGCTCACGCTGTTAATGTTCTTATCATTTTTAAGTGTTTTCATATTTTATTATAACTTTGACTCCAAAGATGGGCCATTTAAATATTTATTGTGATAGCATTCTGGTAGATATAAGGCTCTTGAAGAAGTACCTTATTCTAATTTGCCTATAGGTGCCAAAAGAAACCCTGTCATCTTCTCATCAGAGAAGTTTCCAGAGTATGCAATGTCCCAGTGTTAATCCTAGTTCTCAGGGAGGGCTGAGTGCCGGGAGGCCACGCATGGGCTGAGTGTCTCAAGCCTCCTGTGAAAGGGTTAGGGACCCTACACACAGCAGTTCTGTCTGGGTGGATGCAGGATGGGGAAGTAGGCCCCAGAGAGGCCCTGGAAGGACCTGTGACAACTCCCTGCTCTCCCACCCCCTCTCCTGATCACTAAGTTCTCTCCTGGGCTGAAGAGTGTCCGGTGTCTAGAAAGGGACTTACAGGGCAAGAGCTAGCCCCATCCACAAGTGCTCATCAAGGAGACGGTCGCTGGTGTAAGTTTTCTGTGTCTCATACTGGAAAATACCCTAATACAGAGCCTCTCTGTGCCTCCTCTATATAATGGGGATAATACCACCGACATCATGAAGCTGTCATGAGGATTAAATGAAGTAGTGGAAGCTCTGGACACACTCAGAGCATCACACTAGACACCTCCACCTTGCTACACCCTTTTATGCCTCACCACCCGTCACCGCCCAGGGACTATTCATTTTGCACACAAATGGGCCTCATTCTTTTTAATGGACTGCAGAGCATGCTGGTCTGTAACAGGGCTCGTTTATTTAATTGTCCCCAGTGGAGACAGTCTGGTTGTTTCTTGTCTATTATACCCATGGGTGTATGTAAAAACAGGTGTGAGCATCTGTTTGGGGTTATCTCCTATAAACATAATCTCGCCCAAACGTCATGTGTGTTTAAATCTCAAATAGGTGTTTCTTACTTACCTCCAAATAGGTGTAACCGGCACACTCCCACCCTTTGCTAGGAGGGTCTCCTTCCCTGCCTTGGAGGAGTCTGATGCTTAACCTACACATAGTCGGTGCTCACTCTCCAGTAATTAGAAAATGCACTTTGACAGGAAGAAAACAGCTCCCATATCCAGAGCAACACAGCAGTCGACCAACTAGTCGTGTAGACCTTTGCAGATTTTAAATATAATAGGGTGTCCTTATCTTTACTTACCTTGCATAAAATGTTTATATTATATAATTTTAATGCTCAGCTGTCCCTTTTCTCCCTACCGCGCAGCCCAGGCCCGAACCCGTCAGGGTGCAGAGCCTGCTTCAGGGTGGGGGCGGGGGGAGCAGCGCCACCAGAGCGGCAGGTCAGAGAGCTTCTCAACCTCGGGAGTCCTTACTGCCCTGATTTTACAGAAGAGGAAACTGAGGCACCACCACGTGGTCTCTCGGGGCAGTCGGTATCGCAAAACTTTTCTGCCCCCTCTGAGGGGCTTCCATCAAAATCCTTACTGCCCCGGCGAAGGGGAAAAACAAACAAAAAACAAAACGTAGTTCTGGGACTCCTGGAGCCGTGTCCGGCTCACGCGCGTCCCCGACCTCCCGGCCCTGCGCCCGTGGCCCCGACCCGCCTGGACCCCAACCCGTCCCGAGCTCCCCCGCACCCCCGCCATCCAGCCCTGCCCGGAGCCCGACCGACCCCCGGAACAGACCCAGCCCCGCCCCACCTCCCGCAGGTGCGCTCAACTCCACTTCCGGCCCTGGGCGGAGCCTCCGCGGCCCCCGCAGGTCTGTGCGCCCCTGTCGCCCCCCACCCCCAGCCGTGCAGCGAAGCCCCTGGGACACCCCAGGTGGACCCTGAGTGGAGCCGTCCTCCCCGCCAGAGGGACGCGCCCCCCAACCTGAGTCTGGTCGGACACAGGGCTCTTGGGCCCTGGGAGGGGCCAGGGTCCGGGCAAGGGCGGGCTCGGGGAGGTGCCTGCTCCCCGGGACCAGCTCCCGTTCTGGGGGAGAGTGATGCAGGCCGCTCCGAGACTGCGGGCGCTCCAGCGACACCTGGGCTCCTCGGAGGTAGGGGGCAGGCCCCGACGCTGGCTCCCGGCTCGTCAGCAGGGCCAGGGCTGAGGTCCCAGGTGACCCCTGAGCCAGGGGACAGAGGGCTGGACTCTGGGAGAACGAGCACCCGGCGTCTGGCCACCCGCAGCCGGCACGGAGTGGCTGGAGGCGGGCGGGGGGGGCCTCTGTGCGGAGATGCCCTTCAGTGTCCGGACGCAGGGGAGGGGGCCCGGTAGGAGCTGGTGTGGCGGCCGTGCGGGGCTGGCCGGCATTGTTTATCAACTGCCTTTCAGTGTGTTAACCCCACAGCCTCGGCGGCTGACTCAGCAGCTCCTGCCGCCGCCACCCCCCGCCCCCAGGGTCCAGCAGCCCTGCTGTTGACTCTAGGGCCAATGTGGACACAAGGCTGGGCCCCACGTGCTCATTCTGTCCCTCTCTTGTGGCGCAGGGCAGAGGCATGGAGCCGACCAGCAGCCCACTGACCACACACGTGCTGGACACTGCCTGGGGGCTTCCGGCCCAGGGCCTCTGCCTCTGTCTGTCTAGGCTTGAGGACCATGGCCGGCAGTGGACAGAGCTGAGGAAAAGGTAGGCTTGAGGTCTGGGCGGGACGTGAGTCCAGACCACCTCTCCCTAGCCAGGGGGGCAAGGAGGAGAACGCAGCCAGCCAGCGAGTCCTGCGGTGTGGCCCCCTCAGCCTCGCACCCCCAGTGCCTCTCCCCGAGGGCAGGGCTGGCTAAGGCCCGCGTGTAACCCAAGGGCCTCATGGTCACCGTGACTGGCAGGTAACCTTGTGCCAGGCAGCTGAGCACATTACTTCTCTTCTTGTTCCCACTACAGCCTGTGGGCAGGCCCCATAATTACCCCTTTTATAGATGGAAAGACAGACAGCAAGAGGTAAGTAAAAGCTGGGATCCCATGCCTCGCCTGGCCGCTGGGCCCCTCGGCAGGCCCTGGGCCCTGGCCCCAGGCTCAGGCTCTGCCGGGGCAGGCCCAGCGCCACAGCGCCTGGTAGCTGCCCTGTGAGCCTCTCGGAGGAGGCAGGCTCCCTCTGGTGGTGGGAGTGGGCGGCTGGGCCCCAAAGGTTCAGGGCCAGAGGGCATGGAGCTCATTCCCCCGCCCTTCACCGAGGATGGGGGTTCAGGTCCCATCTGAGTGGCCTGCTCTGGTCCTAAAAGAATCCATGGAGTCCCCTAGAGGGTCACATAGACCCATTCCCAACCCCCCATAAACTGTGGGTACAGGACAGAAACTTGAATCACAGCTGGTGGGAACGATGCCAGGGCTCTCCAGGGGTGACGGGGGCCGGGGGTGGGGGCGTGGGCATAAATCGGTGAGCAAAGCGACAGGCCCTCCGATCGGACACTCCGTGCAGTGCAAACTGGCCACCATGCAGATGGGGGTGTGGGTACAGTTACTGGCTAGAAAGCCACACACAATGTAGTAAATGAAAAGTACAAGTTATCAAACAGCATGTATAATATAATCCATTTTAGGGTATTTTCCTAGGTTTACAAATAAGCAGTTATGTGTAGAGAAAATGTGGAAAAATATATGCCAATATAAAGGGATTGTTGCTTATAAAATAGGTTTGGTTTTCTTGTGTTTTTTTTTTTTTTTTTTTTTAACTTTTCTGCTTCTCCGTATTGGAGTTCTGTCTACAAAAACAGTGCAGTGGTGTCCCTGAGCTCCTCCGGGACCCCAGGCTCTAGACCTACTGTGGGGGAGTCCGAGGCCCCTGGCCATGCAGACCCTGGAGGGCCAGGCAGGGGCAAGTCCTCACCAACCCCTCCCTCCCCTCTCCCCAGCTACACCGACTCGGACGGCCGCTGCCCAGGGCTCCTGCCACCAGGCCCGATGAAGGCAGGCACCTACAAGCTGTCCTTTGACACCGAGGGCTACTGGAAGAAGAGGGGGCAGGAAAGCTTCTACCCATACGTGGAGGTGAGGACCCGGGGTGGAGGCCCGTGACTCACCCAGGTCCCTGCAGTGGGCAGGCTGGTCCTACCCCTCCCATGTCTCCCAGGGTGGTAGCAGTGAGTCCACGGCTTTGAGCTCCCAGAAAAAAGGTGTCCAGGGACTTTACCACAACACACCCGTCCCTGCCCTGTCCCTGGGTGAGGCGATGGGGGGCAGGGCCCAAAGTGACTCAGCCCCTGTGGACAAAGGCACTGACCCTGTTCAAGGTGGATCTTTTGGGTTCCTCAGGTTGATGACTCTCTCCAGAGAGGATTCGGCCACATCACAGCCCTGGCCAGGTTTCCAGCTCTCCACAAGCCCCAGCTGGCCCCACTTAACTCTGCCCCTGGCCCACAGGCTGGGCTGTTTGCGTGCTGCATACGAGCCCCTCACTCTCTTCCCGGTGCCTTCTCTGCTTCTCAGGTTGTTTTCACCATCACTGACGAGACCCACCGGTTCCACGTGCCCCTGCTGCTGAGCCCATGGTCCTACACCACGTATCGAGGGAGCTAGTGGCCGGGCCATCGCCTCTGGCCAACTGCTGGCCTGTGAGCATTGATCCCATCCCCACGGCTCCCTGAGGCACCCCAAGAGAGGGCAGCAGGTCATCTCCCTGTGGGAGATTCTGGCCCTCCACCTCCAGTAGCAGCTGAGTCTCAGGCCTCAATAAAGTCGGTGTCGGCATCTGTAAGGCTGCGACAGTCCCTGGGCTCAGCTGGTGCTGCCCTGGCCCCGAGGTGGGAGGGAGGGCGGGCAGGGGTATGCACAGACTGGACCGGCAGCAGGGAAGGAAGTGGTCAGGGCACCGTGGGCCCAGGAGGTGCCTCTCCTCCACACAGCAAGGCAATCGAACACATAGCAAATGTAGAAAACCTTCATTTGCAGATGATACAAATGTAAAAAAAAAAAATAGTTCCTGTCCTTGGTGAAAGGGAAGGTCATCCAGGGAACAGTCCCAGGCAGGCACTACGTCGGGGTGCCCACGAGTCCCGCGGGGCCCTGGCCCAGCGTCTGCCCGATCACAGCCGTCTCCAGAGGCTTGAAGCCCACATTGTCCAGAGGGATCCCAAAGGCCAGGAGCTTCGCCTCATAGGTGCGCAGCAGGTCATTGTGGGCCTGTAGGGTCAGAGCGGCATCAGGGGAGGGGGCGGAGCCACACCGAGGCTGACTCTAGCCCAGGCCCCCTCAGCTCTGGAGGACTCGGGAGGGTGGCGGTGGAAAACCGTAAAGCTGACCTTAACCAGCGGCTCACGGTACGCCACACCTGGTCATAAACACTTCTACGTACTCATGTAGAATTCAAGTAATTCACAATGGGAGATGCTGCCACTGTTCCTATTTCAAAGATGGAGAAACTGAGGCAGAAGATACAGACTCAGCAGAACTGTGGTCTGAGCACGCTCCTGGTTCCTTGTCAGGCATTCGTCAAACTGGTCATCCTTGACTTCCCGGACATGACCTTGCACGTGTACATGCTTGGCCTCACTGAGCCTCGCCTGCTTTGTCTGATGGTATCTCCTGCCCGCCACCCCAGGAAGGCTGGCTAAGGTCTGGGCAACAGTGCTGCTGGGGCCAACGGGAGGCACGGTTCCTATTCCCCACTCTGGGAAATGGCTATTTTTTAAAGAGTGAATTGCATCAGATGGTTCTAAGGGTTTGAAGAGCTGATGCATGTGAAAAGCTTGGAGCCTGGCCTCAGATCCAAAGCCCAAAAGGGCTCATTATCCTCACCATCATCAAGAAAAGGGTGCTGGAGCTTGGAGCTGAGATTTCAAGGGTGAACTACGGCCAAGCTCCAGAGAGAACTTGGGGGCTGGGTCCTGGCTCTCACCCTTCTCTGGGAGACAGACCTCCTGACAATCAGGTACAAGTAATGGACATTCCCCCAGAAGTGCACACAGTAAATGGCCCTAATTTTGTGCGTGTAAATATCAGGGGATGCGCAGCATCTAAGGAAAGGGTCCAGAGGGCCAGGGCTAAGGAGAGGCCCAGCGAGATCTAGTCACCATGGAACCCAGCGCCAATGACAGGCACTCCCTCCCTCCTGGGGTTCCACTCCCAGGGCACACAGAACCACAAAGCAACCTCCACCCTGCATATTTACAGGCTTATCTGAGTCACACTCGGGGGTGGGTGCTCGAGGTCAAGGTATCTGGAGGCAGCACTGTCTGCATTCCCCACAGGCGAAGCCCAGACAGAGCTGTGGGCTCAGCCATGGAGGCGGGACCACTGGGGAGAGGGCCCAGGCCTCTTGGGTACACAGGGCAGATGACAGCAGGCTCAAGGCACCCAATGCCCCTCCCCAGCTGCAGGAGGCTTCCATGCTGATGTGTGGTTTTGGTGTGGACAGGGTGTGCAGCTTTCATGAGACTTAACAAAGGAGGGAGAAAAAGTTAAGACTCGTAACTGTCCCCTGCATGGAGGAAGCAAAGGAAGCCCATCCAATCACCAGAGACCAGGTCACCGAGAGCAAGGGTCAGATGGGAGACAGGGACAGAGTGTGCTGGACAGACAAACTGCCTTCATTACAAGATATCCCCTGGGCAGTCCCTGTAAGGGACACCAGGACAGTGGCCAGAGTTGTGGGGATGTGGCCCAGGCCACACATAGTGACCTGAGAAGGCCCAGACAGCCTCAGGCTGTGTCTACCTCCACGGTGTAGATAAGGTGGGGCCCTGAGAGAGGGGCAGGAGGCTCCTGGTACCTTGCAGACCCGGGCCAGCTCATACTGCAAGTCCTTGATAGTGTTGTTCTTCGATTCTAGAACATCCTAAGGAGAGAAAGGTGGATGTGAGTTTGAGCCTGTCTTTGGGCTAAAGCAGACGGGGGTTGGTGGGGGTCTGGAAGCTCCAGCAGACCTCAGACATCCAGGGAATGGCAGCCGGGCTCCATCAGTGTAGACATCCACGCAGGGAGCAGCCAGCTAGCACAGAAAGGTCTTCAAAGGAGAAAGGGAAAATAGGATCAGCCTCTCTGTAAGGAAACCGTCTAGATGGTGGGAAGTGAGGACAAGAATTTAGAGAAGCCAGGCCACCAACAGGCCAGGGAAGGGCCCTTGAGCCCCCGCCTGCCTCCTAGCAGGCTTCCTCCAGGCAGGCCAGGGGACTGACCAGGAAAGGCCCTGGCCCACGGACACAGCTGCAGCGACTACTGTGAGTGGGACTGATTTTATCCCCTCGTCATGACTGCTGGCAACAGCCTCACCCAGCTCCGAGACCAGGCGCCCTTCCCAACAGCAGAGGCAGGAAAGCTCTCCCGTTTCCGAGAGCGCCCTCCCTCCCTGCCTGGCAGTGTTCACAAGTAGGGACAAGGATACAGGGAGAGAGATGGACCTCCAGACCCCGGTCCACAGTGCTGCCAGCCCACACGAGGCCCCGAGAGCCTGTGCCAGGTGACTCTGGCCCCACAGGCCCTGCCGCCCGCCGAGCCGGGACTCGCGGCTGCCCAGGAGCAACATCTGGTCTCAGCCGGAAATGGGCACCACGTCTCCTTGGACTCCTCAGCAACAAGTCTCTCTCCTCCATCAGCAACAAGTCCTTCGTCCCGCATCGGGGCCAGCTCACCTCCTGCCTTCCCAGGGGGCTCTGTCTGATCCAGTCCACCCCACCCAGAACCTTCCATGGTTCCCCACCAGCCTCAAACCCAGGCACAACCAACACGCTTCGGAACCACTCCGATCCAGCCGGCTCTGCACTCCTCCCTTCAGCCTTGCATTCCCCCCAACACGCAAGCAGCAAGGGGCTCACACATGTCCAACAGCACTGATGGGAGCTGCAAGCCTCAGGTCAAGGCCAGGCGGGCAGCAAGCTAGCCTACGGTGTTTTGGATTTTTTTAAGATTTATTTATTTGAGAGAGAGAAAGAGAGAACGTGTGCCTAAGAGCGGGGGAGGGGAAGAGGGCAAGGGAGAGGCAGAATCTCGACTCCACACTGAGCACGGAGCCCGACATGGGGCTCGATCTCACGAGTCGTGAGATCGGGACCTGAGCCAAAACCAAGAGTCAGACAGGCACGTAATGAACTGAGCCACTCAGGCACCCCGAAACGGCTTTAAGAAAAGATTAGGTGACCCGACACAGTTACTCCTCTGAGCCTGGGTGCCATGTGAGCAGACGGGGTGACTGCATGTTGACAAATCACCTGAAAAATGCTGCCTGTGTATTTGTCAGGACAAAACACACCTGCACAGGGCGGCTGGGTGGCTCAGTCGTTAAGCGTCTGCCTTCAGCTCAGGTCATGGTCCCGGGGTCCTAGGATCGAGCCCCGCATCGGGCTCCCTGCTCCGCGGGAAGCCTGCTTCTCCCTCTCCCACTCCCCCTGCTTCTGTTCCCTCTCTCGCTGTGTCTCTCTCTGTCAAATAAATAAATAAAATCTTAAAAAAAACACACACACAAAACACACACACCTGCACAGTGAAGCCTCCTTAAGCCCCTGACTCAGATCTGTTTCTCCGTGAAGGAAGAGCAGAGAAGGAAACCTCCAGCCCAGAAGGATCTGTCTCTGGGACAAGCTGGCCGCCCCTCCCTGGGCCTCTCTATGGAGACGTGCAGACCCCCAAGGGCCCTACACCTGGGGCCGCCTCGGGCCTGAAGGCTGCAGGTCACCCAGGTGGCCAGGATCCCAGCACAACCACTTCCCAGGAGCAACAAAGACCCCTTGTCCATTCTTTCTGTGACACGTCCTAGCGAGGCTCAGGGAACAGACACAAGGCCCAGCTCTGGGCAGGAGATGACCTGCCAGGTGCTGGCAGGCTTCTGCCTGGTGATCGCTGTCCTGATTCCTGTCCGTGGGTGCCCAGGCCTCATCTGTCTTGTGTAATGCTCTCCCCTGTGCCCAAGACAGCCCCCACAGAAAGGACCAGCACACAGAACCGTGAACTCATGACTGGACAAATGCTCTAGCCTCTGCTCAGACCTTAACTCCCTCTGGGAAGCCTGCCCCAGCCCCCACCACACAGCCCTGTATGTCCCTGTGCTAACTGCCCACAGCCTACATCAAGCAGGATATCCTCACATCCCGGGCGGGCTGTGGCCATGGCCTCGGCTACAAGCTCATGGGCTCGGCTGTCCCCCAGGCCTATCTCCAGGTTTGTCACCAGACGTCTGAGGAGTGCAGGCCCTGAGTTTTGAGAGCAGTTTGAGAGACCCGGGGCCTGACAGGCTAAGCTGAACCCATCCTGAGCACTGGATGGGCAGTGGGCTCAGGGCCAGAAGGTGCCAAGAGGTTAAGGAGGGGACTGGGGAAGCACCAAGCAACAGAGAGCCTGGGGAGGCTGTAAGCAGACGTCTGCAAGCCCCATCTGTGCTCCAGCCACAGGAAACCCGTGACAGCCCCTCCCCAGCATTACCGGACGGTCTCCACTGGAGTGACGGAGGCTGGACACACAAGCATCAAACACGTGACCCCAACCCGAGCCCCGGACACCTGCTAGGGGACAAGAACAGGAGGCTGCAGCCTGGGACCCACCTCCAGTTTGCGGGACACAAGGGTCAGCGCTGCGGGGTCCAGGTTAGAGGCCGCCAGCACCTCACTGAACTGCACCTCCTTCTTCTCCACAGAAGCACTCAGCGCCTGCAGCTTCCGCTCCAGAACCAGGTTCTTGAAACCCACCTTCTGCTGCACCTCCAGGATGGCCGCAGTAAACTTCCTGTACAGCTCGTCCCGCTCCTGCTGCACCTGCAAGGGACAGGCT